CGGTACCCAGACATCGGGCGTCTCGAAAAAATCTAGACATAGGTTTTTTTATCATTTTCGGGCTCTCGAGGCCCTCGCCGGTCCTCGCAACGGCTGCGTGAAGTCGCCGCGCAGAGCGCGGATCGAGGAAACATGGGGTGCCCTGACGAAAAGCATATGGTTTCTTGATGCGCGCCCCCACTGTAATGCGGGATATAAAAAATAGGAGAGAACGATAAAAAACATACTTTCTGCTATTTCTGCACAACTTTCTGGCTGGAGGAGAACGAAAAAAATAGTTTTCCAGCCCGCGGCCGGTTTTTTCTAATCGTCATCCCGGGCGCCGCCGCGTGAACACGACCCCCGGCCATTTATTAATCGTCATCCTCCATTGCGATGATACTCGTGCTATGGGCCATACAGTGCGGGCGCAGCCGCCAGAAACCCTCGCAGGAAGCCCGACCCTGAAAGCCTACGCGCGAGGCGCGCCTGAGGGGCAGCCCGGAGCACCCTGGACGCAGCAGCTTTTGCAACGGCTGCGTGAAGTCGCCGCGCGGAGCGCGGCTCGAAGAGACATGGGGTACCCTGACGAAAAGCATATGGTTCCTTGCTGCGCGCCCCCACTGTATTGCGATGCGTCCGCTGTCGATCTTCGTGGGCCCTCCAGGGTGCCCCCCGGGCTTCCGGAGGCTGGGGCCGTCGGGGGGAACACCCTGTGCGGGGGGCACTTGCTGGCCAGCCAGTTCTCTTCCTCGGGCGTGCCTGCAGTCGACCCGTGCAATCCGCCAGCCCCCTGTGCGGGGCCAGCAGGCTGCGGGGATGGAGTTCGCTGCTCCCTGCCATCGGGCTGCGAGGGTGGAGTTCGCTGCTCCCTGCCATCAGGCTGCGGGGAAGGAGCTCGCTGCTCCCTGCACCAGTTCCAGTTTCCAGCTTCCAGTGTTACAATCTTGCTTGTTCTGCTTCTTACCGTATATTGCTACTGTCCGCGCGAGGGGGGGGAGCCGAAAACCGCCCGGTCGGCGTCCCCGGATCGCGTTGTCTGAGTTTCTGGGGGGCCGTGGGACACGTGAAAATACACGACATCCGCGCTCCCGACGCACAAATCCATTGTAAATTACGCTGTGTTTGCGCCCCCGAGGCCAAAATCAATGATACATTACGATGTGTTCGCGTCCCCGAAGCCACGATCAGTCGTAAAATACGCGGAACTCGCGCTCCTGAGGCCACGATCCCGCGTAAATGCTTCTGTGGCCACGATCCCCTGGAAATTACGCCACGGTCGCGCCCCCGAGCTACGATCACTTGTAAGTTACGCCACCTTCGCGCCCCCGAGGCCACGATCTCTCGGAAATTGCACCGCGTTCGCGCCCCCGAGGCCGCGATCCCGCGTAAATTGCACCACGTTCGCGCCCCCGAAGCCACGATCCCTGGGTAAATCGCGCCGCATTCGCGCCCCCAAGGCCACGATCTGTTACAAGAGGCCCCAAGAGGCGCCCAAGACGCTAAGACGCGCCCAAGAGGCCTCCAAGAAGCCACAAACATACCCCCCCGAAGCCCCAAGAGGCCCCCAAGAGGCGCCCAAACCGCCTCCAAGAGGCCCCCGAGAGGCCCCCAACGACACCCCAACACATATACAAGCGGCCTCAGACCCACAACCCAGGCACGGTGGCGGGATGGGCCGAAGGCCACTAGGATCCGCCGCCCCCTGCTTGCAGGGGTGCACGGCGTGCTGGACGAGCTGTTAGGTTTTGGTTTTGGTTCTTTTTCTAAAAGAACTCCCCAGTGGGCTTCGGCCCGTCCCGCCGGCCACCCTTCCAGGACCTCAATTCCCCAATTTCCTGCCCAAAAACGGCCGTTTCGCTCGGGACATCCTCAAAAAATCGCGACGATGGCCCAAGATGGCCTCCAAGTCCGCCCGAGATGGTCCAAGACGGCCTCCAAAACGGCCCAAGAGAGTCCAAGACGGCCCAAGACGGCCCAAGAGGCCCCCCAGAGGCCTCCCAGACGGCCCAAGAGGCCTCCAAGAGGTCCTCCAGGAGAGTCCGAAGAGGCCAAAATCATTGATTTTCCCTTGGTTTTTGAAGGATTTTGGCATTTGCGCCTTTTCGGCTCTCCGACGGCTCAAGACGGCCCAAGAAGCCCCCAAGATCGCCCAAGAGGCCCCCAAGAGAGCCCCATGATGGCCCAAGTGGCCTCCAAGATGGCCCCTAGAGGGCCCCAAGAGGGCCCAAGAGGCCTCCAACACGCCCAAGATGGCCTCCCAGACGCCCAAGATGGCCTCCAAGACGGCCCTGGAGCATTCCAAGCGGGCCCCAAGTCGGCCCATAGAGGCCCCCCAAACGGCTTCCGACGGCTTCAGACGTGCCAGGAACCCACCAAGATGGCCGAAGTTGGCTCGAAGCTGGCCCGAGACGGCCCAAAAAGCCCCAAAGATCGCCCAAAGCTTGCCCAAGAGGCCTCCAAGACGGCCAAGATGACCTTCCGCCTGCCCACGTGTTCCCCGAAGGCTTTCCAAACCGAT